CCGCCCCAGCCCATAAGAGCAAAAGCCTGGCAGGAAGCAGGCATACCTGGCACTCCGGCTTCAGCCCTCTCCAGGCCAGGGCCTCCAGCGCGGACCTTGTGTGCTCCCCCTTCCCCCAGGGGCCCCACGGTGAACTGGAAGGGGCTCCCGGGCACGTGCTGGCCCTTGTACTTGACGCTAACTGTGTGCATGCCCATCTCGGCAGGTACAAAGCGGATGCAATAGGTGTGGTTCTCCCCTTCCACGATCTCGGCCTCATGGCTCTTGCCTGATGGGCTGGTCACCTGGGCTGTCATGTCCTGGATGCTAATTTCTGCAGGTGGGGGACAACGTGGTGAGCAAGAATCCCGGGCCCCACCCCTCTGCTCGGGGCCCCGTGGGGCTGGTACCCAGGACTCCCCAAGGCCCCCTCCCTGGCTCCCTAGGGCTCCTACCAGGGATCTTCAGGCTGAGGTCGCAGTGACTGCCGACATTGGCCACCGAGGGGGCCCGTCGCCGGCGTGTGATGCTCTCTTTCACCCGGCCCTCTCCTGTTACCTTCACAGAGAAGGGGCTGCCTGCAGGAAGAGAGCACAGCCCGTGCACCACGCAGGTTACATTTCTGCCTGCAGGCTGTGGTGCGTGGCAGGGAGGGTGGCCCCGTCACGGGGGCAACGTGTGCATGCCCCACTCACCAGGCACGTGCTGGTCAGCGAACTTGATGTTGATGATGTAGTTTCCGGGCTCTGTGGGGCAGTAGGTGACCCTGCACGTGCCATCCTCCAGGTCCTCTGTGTTGATGTCCACCTTGCTGGGGCCCTCGATGGACAGGCTAAGTCCGCCGTAGCCTGGGAAGCAACAGCCCTGAGCCAGGGGGCTGAGCACGGGGGTCCCCCCACCAGCTGGTAGGTGGCCACCACCTACCTGCATCACGGGTGTCGATGATAAACTCTGCAGGCTCAAAGGTGTGGCCCTCGTGGAGGCCCTGGCCTGAGACCCGCACACGGCTGGCATCCCCGATCTCCGACTGGCTGATCACCACTGGGATGGGGCTGCTTGCCACGTGCTGGCCATTCTTCTTCACGTGCACCAGGTGCTCCCCCGTCTCCTTGGGCACGAATGAGATCCCTGGGCACAGGGCAGGGCCGTCAGCCAAGGGAAGGCGGGCCCGCCCCTCACAGCCTCCCCCTTCCCAGGAGGCCCTGCCCCTCCACCTCTTACCCACGTGGCCATTGCGCAGTCGCTTCAGGAGACAGGGCTCCTCCCGGCCCGAGGGTGGCACTACCGTGGCTGTCAGCAGGCTGAGGTCCGTCTCGGAGATATTGATGGGGATGTCGGCGGCAGAGCCCACCTTCAGGTGGGACATGCGCATCGAGTCGTCGCCTGCCAGGGGACAGTCGCTGCATGTCCATGTGCGGTGGGGAGAGGGTGCCCGCCCCGCCGTTCGCCTGCTTTTGTCACTGCTCCCAGTGCCACATACCCGTGACCCTGGCGGTGAAGGGGCTGCCCGGGATGTGCTGCTCGTTGTACTTGACCAGGATGCTGTAGTCCCCGGGCAGCACAGGAAGGTAGGAGACACTGCACGTGCCGTCCTGGTTGTCGGTGCAGCTGATCTCTGCTTTGGATGGGCCCTCAATGGCCAGGGACAGGCCCCCTACGGAGAGTCGTGGGTGAGGATGGGAACCACGCCGGGGCCCCCGCACTGATGGCACAGAGCCCCGACAGGCAGAGGTCGGGGTGGCAGGTGCGGAGCCCCACTTAGGGAGCGTCTCCGCTGGATGACGGCGTCCCACGGCACAACGTGAGGCTAAGATCGGAGCGGCTCACCCTCTCCCGCATCCTTGGTGTTAACGGTGAAGACCGCGGGCTTGTTCACCACTCCGTGGCTGAGGCCAGGCCCATAGGCGGTGACATGGCCGCAGTTGACATAGTCCACGTAGAACTGCAGGGGGCTTCCTGAGGCAGGAAAAGGGGCCAGGTGGAATGGGGCTCTGTGCCACCTCCCCAGGCTCCTCCCAGGGCGCTGGCAGTACAGCGTGGGGGCGCACCTGGGATGTGCATGTTATCGTAGCGGATGTCCATCTCGTGCAGGCCTGCTTCGCTGGGTGCATAGCGCACGGTCACAGTGCCGTCCTTGTTGTCGGTGATGGCTGGCTGCGCCACCTTGCCCGAAGGCATCCGCACCTCCCCTGCAGGGCAGCGGGGCCAGGGTCAGGGCAGCCACTGGCAAACCCAAGCCTCTGTGGCTCCCGAGCCCCTTCCTGCTCCCACTCACCAGTGATCTCGCCTTTCTTGATGGTGAAGGGGATGACGAGGTCGAAGGGCCTCAGGCTGGTCACATCCAGCCCATTGACACCCATTAAGGGTCTCTCTGGGGCCTGTAGTGGAGACAGAGGGCCCAAGTGAGGCGCTGTAGGATGGGTGGGCATACGAGGAAGTCCCAAGGGAAGCATCTGGAGGTCCCTCCTCACGCGTGGCAGGAGGGGGCCTCATGGGATACCCAGCTGGCCAGCCCCACATGTCCCCTAGGGCCGGGAGAGCCAGAATGAGGCACGCGAGGTCATACCCAGGTCTGCTGGCCACCCTGGGGATAGGTGTACGGTGGGGCCAGCTGCTGAGGCCGAAGTGGGGGCTGTGCTGTGGGCTGGTCCCCAGCTAGAGCCTGCAGAGCATCACAGAAGAGTTGGTGAGTCTACTGTCGTAGAGATGGCCCAGGGGGAGGGACAGGCCAGGCTCCCTCCGCCCAGACCCCTCAGCCCCGGCCCCTCCTGACCGTCACTTGGAAAGGGCTGTTGGGCACGTGCTCGCCACCAAAGCGCACGCAGATGACATATTTGCCCGGCTGGGGGGCCGTGTAGAAGATGTCAAAGGTGCCGTCCTCGTTCTCTACCACGTCCACATCTACTTCCGAGCCGTCGGGTGTGCACACAGTACAGGTCACCTTGCCTTTGCCTGCTGCCTTGGTGTCGACGGTGATCACCGTC